ACTTTTTGTAAGATTATCCCCAATTTTTTTTGAAGAATAGAGGCATTTCTTTAATGTGATATTTCTGAGACACAGCCATGAACTAGAAAGATTTCAAAACGACGTGTCCAGCACATTCCATTGACAACTTTTGAAAGCTAGCTCGAAGAACTTCATTTTTGGGTTATTTTTAATTTTTTTAATTTCTCGTCTTCTTATTTCAAAATAACAAAAACATCTTCAAGTGTGGGTACCCAAGTGGGCAGGTGTGCTATTAAATATATGTATATATAAATGTATTATATACGAGTGTACTACATAATATATGTAAGTATGTGGTAAATATGCGCAAAGCATCACAAACATTCCGGGCGGCATTCGGTGAATGTGCCACAATGCGGCGTTTGCTCATTTGCATGCGAAGTTTTCATGTCACTGACTGCTCGCGCGCCGCGAAACGCGAAAATGCCGCCGATGTGCTGCAAATATATTCGCGGCAAATTGAAAAGTGATTTTTTTCACATCAACAACAACAATTAATTTTCAACACGATGCAAATTGGTTTAAGTGCGTAAGACCGAAATGAAGTTGCGCGCCATTAACGGGAGGCGAAGGGTAAAACAAATTACAATTAAGGCGTTAACTAATGAGAGAAGTTAATTAAAATATATATTTTATGCCAAATGTTTGTTTCCGTTTAATTAAAATGGCGGCCGGCGCGAGTGAAGGTCATTAAAATATCGATTGGGGTTACGGAAGTTTAAGTTCCAGGGATATTTTCAACTTTAACGAATTAATGATTTTTAAGTGAACTATATTTGAGTTATCATGGTTAAATGCTGGATTAAACTTTAAGGGATGAAAAAAATACAAATTTATTGCAGACGGTGCGTGCTGGCATTTTTAAAACAATGTTTTAACTAAAAAATGAAATAGCTATCTCGTTGGATTCAAAAAAAAAAAAAAAATAAAAAAAAATAAATATATATATATATATATTGATGTAACAGCAAGACTAGGTGCATGAAGAACTGTGATTCCTTCCTCCAGTCTGCTTGATGGATAGAGAAAATCATGCATTTCACACTGGAAACCACAGCTCATGACTTTCATTTGGCGCGCTCCGCTGTCGGTATAGTCAAATTCGCCATATTCCGCATCACTGACCCACTTAGGAAAAGTAACAACAAACAAATCGCAAAATCCTTCAACAACTTTTACTGAAACTTACGATTTTTACGTCACTCTCGCACTCACACACACACCGCAGCGCACAATTCTTTCATCCTCTTAACCCATTTCAATAAGCAACAACAACTGGCGTTATAAAAGCAATACCTGAGTGATTATCACCACAGCACCGCCGCGCGTGTGTGCGTGTGTGTGTATGACGTGTGTGACGCCTTTCAGCGCGCCAAAGCTTTGAGTGTAATCACTTAATGTGTTGTTGTTATTGTGATAGAAAAACTTTACAAAACCCATGGTGGCTTTGCTGTATGGCAATGTGTTGACATTTTTGTCGCATATATGAATTTTGTATATATGTATGTGTAAGTGTGGGTGAATAACAGAACATAGTTGACCGATTTTATTTTCGCTTTGTTCAAAATAAAAATATATAAGTTTTGTCACGCTTATAACAGCTTATGAAAATAYATGTATGTATGTATGCGTGACCTGAGGAGGTAAAAGTGGTTTCTAACTAGTTCAATACTAGTACAGAGTATATCGAGACATATCAATATGGAGTTATCGTAGGAGTTGGAAGTCCTGTTTCCAACACTACCATTTGATCAAATTTGAACCGGACAGGTCCATGTAAAATGCAGCCGAAAAGCCAACTTGGTTTATGGTTTTGGGAAATTCTCTCCAGCGAAAATCATTTTATTAAAAATCATTGAACAACTGTTTGGCTTGAAATATTGTCTTTCCATGGAATTTCGGAGATTCTGGGGGACTGTAACACACTGAGGAAATTTTCGAAAAATCAAGTTTAATAATAGTTTTCATGCCTCCAAGCATTTAGAGAGTACCATGAAGTTATCGAAAACTTGTCTTATGCGACTCATCCATAACACTCTGTTACCTCTGTTGATAACAACGAAGAAGTAAAGGAACACTGAAAAAACATCGTAGTTGAATCAGAGGATTAGCAGAAGATCTCAACTTCCCCTATGAATATATACGAATCGACCCAACACATTTTGGTAAATGTTTTGATTAAAGTTTTTGTTAATATTTTGAGTATAAAGAGATAAAATACTAACTCGTTGCAAAAGGTCTGGTTCTATGGAAAATTGGATTAAGCGTTTTTATATTTTTTGGGTCAAGAGAATATTTTAAAGGCGATAGAAAGATTTCTATTAAACATATTTAAATAGTAGATTTTTCCAGTCCGGGTCAAATTTGATCACATGTTATTTCATGTCTATCTGGTTCATACGCTGTTTTAATAAATATTTTATGTTCGCTTGATACTAGATAAAAGCTCCGTGATTTGGAACTTTGTTGAACACAAAACAGTAATTTCTACAAAATAGTTATGTTACTTCTTCTCTACTTTCAAGAGTCTTCGGAAACGTTTTTAGTGCCAATATACTTCCACAAATTCCTACAGGGCAACAACACATACGCGAACATACGCATATAAGTTACTTTTCACTGTGTTACGCCGCTGACATGCGTGCTCAAAACAATCGAGTGACGGTTTTGTGCATTTTCATAGAAGCTGCGGCGGCAAGCCTGCAAAGTGTGAGTGTGTGGTAATTTTTCACCTGCGATCGAGTTCATTGAAAAGTGAAAACCGAGCTGACAGAAAAGCCATGGCACACACGACGCGACCCCCGGGGGGATGTTAAAAGTATCAAAAGAGTGCAAAATACACGCTGGCAGTGGAGCGGAGTTTTGAAAAGCAAAACAGAAAAAAGATATATGTATTAAACAAATGCTGCCAAAGAGAGCAGAATGAACGAATTGATTTTCACTTACACACACTGACATACACACACAAATACGGAGCAGGTGTCGAGCTGCCTTGCTAGCATACACACCCGCATCGACATGCCCACCCACGTGACTTGGACACGCTACATGAAGTGCAACATAAATTCCAGTGAAAGAGCAAATACTTGCGTTTCCACATAAAGTTGCAAGACTTTCAGCTGAATTCAGCGCCACAGAAGTGTGCACCGCTGAAATAATATTTCCTCTTTAGTTGCTTGTTGCCATGCCAGCCTTCGCCTCAATCGCCCTAGCTGCGGCTGCTTGAGTGGCGTGCAAGTGGATGGCATTTACTGGCGAAAGTGCTTAGCGCGTACGCAGTCGGAGGCGTGTAGAGCTCGGATTTTATGGTGATGCTGTGCAAATGTGTTTTTCTGTTCAGTTTTATTACTTGCGTGGAAAATAACACCTTAACGGAGCACAGCACAATGGCGAACATACCAAAAAAAAAAAAAAAAAAAATTGTGCACAAACAAATTAAACCAAATAAAGGGCACTAACTAAGCGAGAGTTGGTCACTATAGTTGAGACATTTTTCAGGCGCAAAGGGATACTATATAATCTGTTTAGACAATCAGACTAAGGCTTTCGAGGAACTGTTTTATAGAGTTTTGCACAGGATGATTTCATGCTTCTTCTTCTTTTCTATTGGTGTAGACACCGCTGACGCGGTTATAGGAGAGTTTATAATAACGCGCCAGTCGTTCTTCCTTTTCGCCTGGACTTCCAAGAAAGAGGAGATGCTGGAAAGAAGCGGGTTGAAGAAGTCGCACGATAGGGAGTCGCCTTGTCTGAAACCGCGTTTGGTATCGAACGGTTCGGAGAGGTTCATCCCGTTCCAGACGGAGCTTTTCGTATTGCTCAACGTCAGCTTACACAGCCGTATTAGTTTTGCGAGGATACCAAATTCAGACTTCGCGGCATAAAGGCAGCTCCTTTTCGTGCTGTCGAAAACAGCTTTGAAATCGACGAAGAGGTGGTGTGTGTCGCTTCTCCTCTCACGGGTCCTTTTCTAAAGTTGGCGCATGTTGAACCAAATGGTCGGTTGTTGATTTTCCAGGTCTGAAGCCACACCTGTAAGGTCCAATCAGTTTGTTGACGGTAGGCTTTAATCCTTCACAGGACTCGATAGGACCTTATACGCGATGATGAGGAGGCTTATCCCACGGTAGTTGGCGCAGATTGTGGGGTCTCCTTTTTTGTGGATTGGGGAGAATACACTTAAATTCCAATCGTTTCGCATGCTTTCGTCCGAACATATCTTACAACGAAGCTGATGCATGCTCCCTGTCAGTTCTTCGCCGCCGTGTTTGAACAGCTCGGCCGGCAATCCATCGGCCCTCGACACTTTGTCTTTCCTCAGGTGCGTATTTACTATTCGAACTTCTTCATGGTCGGGCAATGGAACGTCTGCTTCATCGGCATCGATTGGGGAATCGGGTTAACTATCTCCAGGTGCTATGCTTTCACCAAGGTTCAGGAAAGTACCGTTTTTGGATTTTAATTTACAAATTATTTGTTGCCTTTGAATCTCTGATTAAAGCCCACATCTTTTGAAAATAAGAGTATTCAAAACAAAGTGTTAAGACACAATATTTGAGCGTCAATCCAACAAATATGTGAGTATAACTTAAATTACACATCCTTTCAAACTCACACATTCATATATATTTATATATAGAGCTGACAATATTGCTTTCTAATCAGCTCATAGTTATGCTGTCATAGTCTCTAAATTAAATGAACTCTCAATTTACGTTTGGCCTCAAAGCAGGATTCTAGATTTACCGTCGCGCGAACTGATTGTCTAAACTTTATGCAAATACTCGGCAAACACTGATATATTTATTATATATGCAAATGAACAGTTAATATTACCGTTGCATAGCAAGTAGGTATACAAACCGCTAATACCTTGTGAATTTGCCATTGACTTCTCTTACTGTTATACATTCTATTATAATGTGAATGGAGTGCTCATTGCTAACTGTTATTGTTATTGTTCGCTGTTATCTTTGCAGAGCTCAAAGCCAACATAATCGGGCCAACGGATTTGTATGTGAAAAGCGGCAGCGATATAAATCTAACGTGCCGCATCATGCAGGGGCCGCACGAGTTGGGCAACATATTCTGGTACAAAGGTGCGTATACGCAATCACACACACTCACATATACACACATACATCTACTCGATAGTGAACACGTAAACACTCGTGCATTCAGTGCCTATTTATATGCACACGTGCGCTCTCCTAGAAGGACAAGCCATAATTTATGCACGCGTGCGCCTTACAATTGTTTTTGTTTTCGCTTGTTGTTGTTTTGTTATGCGCTTACAGCCGCAAATTAATTAAAAAGTTTTTTTTCCTTTATTGGCACTGCCATTTGCTGTTATCGTGCTGCTGCCGCCGCCAGTATGCCGTTTGGCACTAACTGACGCGCGCCTTGACAATCGCATTAATTGCGTTAAGCAGCAACAACAAAAACAGCGGCGACAAAAAAGTAGCTTAACGCCAACAACGGCATTTGGACGGAGCGTGTCACTTTTTTCGCCGCAACGCTTCACATTTCAATCGCAATTCGCTCACAATGACAGCGATGGCCAGCAGCAACAACAAGTCCGGCAAAAACAACAGCGTCAGTAACGCCAACTACGCCTGTGCGTGTCACAGCAGCGGCTTGTCAGCGTCTGAATTACTCAACGCCAATAATAGTTAAAACGAAAGCAACAACAACAACAATGTCATTGGTTGGTGTTGCTAGCAGCGCAATCGCAAATGATTTTACTCAATTGTGCTGCAAATGCGCCAACACATAATTGATGTGACAATTAAAGGCGCATAATTGTGGCAATACCAATCCACGCGCAATCATATACACACACATACATGCCTTAAATACACACATGCACATGCATATTTATGTTCCTACCAACACTCATGCGCTTTTATATTCCCTCTATGCAGTGAGATCACAGATATTGGTGTCACATTGTCCGCACTCCCTTTTTATATTTTTTCTTTATGTCCATATTTGCTCTGTTGTTTTTGTAAATAGTGTATGGCCTTTTTATGTGTGTCTGCTCAAAGTTTGCAATTAAATTTTTCAGGCACAGAAATCATCGATATGTCAGCGAATCTAAATGAGATCGACAGCGTGACGCGGATTAGTGTCGACAACGATTGGACAGATGGATTGACATCAAGGTGAGCCAAACGTTAATGCCATTAACTTTTTATTTTAAATACAGTTTAATTTTACTATGGACAATAACTCACCAGAACTGTGGCAGAAGCTCCAATAGTGGTTGTTGTACAGTATGGTATATCAATTATTTTTCTAGTTTCTTAGCGAAATTTAATTTTGAATTCGCTGATAAGAAGACACAGCTAAAGAAAAGTTTTCAGAATTTATTGAGACATTTTTTAGTGGATGAAGTGATCTTTAAATATTGTTCTTGTTCAGACCACACGAAAGACATTCCGACAATGTAAAGCCTCTCAGTCCACTCATTTTAACCAATTGTTGCTGAAATAAAAATTTCAGCATATTTCCTTCCATTTCCAGCTCGAAGATGAAGCAAAGTTCTCTTGCATCAAGCAAGCAGTTTGACTTTTTTTATGATATTCACCTAAACTTGCTTCTTCTTTCTTTTTCAGATTGAAAATACGCCGTGCCATGCCCTCTGACACCGGCAACTATACGTGCGTGCCAACGATAGCGAAGTCATCCTCGGTGTATGTGCACGTCATAATAGGTAAGCACATAGTCACTACTTGAATACATTTCAAAATCTACAAAACATCTAATCAATACATTTATGTGTATTGTTATATGTTTGCTATAAGCTGACCCGAATTTTTCCTCTACAACAACAAAATCGAATTAATTTCTGCGAAAATTTCTGTTTCCATATTTTGTTATAATATTGAAAGATTATTTTCGTTAGTCTCGGAAAAAAAACTACGCTGTGTTCAGAGAGAATTTGACAAAAGAGAAAAATTTTAGCTGTAACTGTGCTCTCAAATCGGCACCTTGTGGGCAGCGTTAAAATGTTAATATAAATAATTGGTGGAGTCATTGACAGTTGTTGTCACACCTCTGGAGCAATTTAAAGAGATATTCTGGTCTAGAGGCACGAATTTCAATAGTTTTAGGCAATTGATAAACGAAAAAAGAATTATGACTATATAATAACTATGACTTTAAGTAAATCTAAAGACGTAACCGGCCTGTGGTTTTCATCCAGAGGAAAACATTTCTTTTTAGCCAGGTTGTTTGCTAGAAACATTAAGGGTTACTCTAAAAACAGTAATTTCGTGAATATAACTTGTCAAATGCATAGGTTTTCCATACCAGCACAAGATTCCGATCATTCCTTTATGTTATAGTGGTCCGATATCGACAGTTCCGAATGTGCAGCTTCTTGAAGAGAAAATGACATTTGCAAAATTTCAAAACGAGAACTTAAAAACTGACGGACTAGTTCGTATATAGTATATACAGACGGACCGACGGACAGTGTATAAAATTATAGTGTTCTCGCCAATATTTCCACCCTTTTGGTAATCTGATGGGTGAATGATGGATTCTTGATTAGTGCGAGAACTGCTGAAGCACAAGAAACTGTAAAGCTGAAAGAAAAAAAAAAAAATGGTTTTGGCAAAATCTAATTTAAAGTTCTACGTTAAACTTCTTGCAGCGCAACTGATGGAATAGTACGTATAGCTTACACTCTCTTAGTCAACCATCCCACATACAGTGGGTGTCTCATATCTCATATTGATTGATTTTGGCATTTCTCTAATAAGAACCAGAAGTTCTTACTTCATTTCACGAATTTGCATATTCAGATAGCCCGGACCTCAAGTCGCCTATTGTTGCAGTCGTTCGCTAAACCGGTGCAGTTGTAACGGCACTAAAATGGCTATAACTTAGGAACAAATTTTACTTTTGAAAAAACGTTTTATTCTGATTAGAATATCTAAACTATCGAATTGTGAAAAAATATTGTGAAGTAAATATAAGTTTTTAAACTAACGGCAGATCCCAATAGAGGTACTTTTCTCAAAAGTATTTTTCGAACAGATCACTCGTGAGTCGGGTCAGGCTGTCATATGATCTTTGGAATTTTATCATGTAAAGACTTACTTCTGAAGAACGTAAACAAATCATTCAACTTTATTAAGAAAATTCACGTTCTGTAAAGGATATGTTTCGTGCGCCTCGCCCCTCTTATCTTGAGACCCAGCATTGCTTTTTGTACAGTGCCACATGTACGTATAAACGCACTCTTAGTTTTAATTTTGCTAACTTCTCTCTTTCTTTGCATTGCACTAATTACAACAAATTCTCTCTCATATTGTTTGTTAAACTAACGGAAATTCGTATTGAGTGCAAACTCCCACTTTTGTTGTTGTTGTTATATTTAAATCGTTGCATTTGTATAATATTCGACCGAATAGACCACGTCCAGCACACAGAGAAGAAAATATAGCCGTAGTTGAGAATGAATACGACTGACGGACTGACGTATGAACGATTTTGCGCATTGGCGACCATTATCGCGCCTTGATAACCGACTAGTTGATGCTTCAGGCAGCTCGGCGTCATCTGGTTTTAACAAGAAGGGGTCACTTCCTACAAATCGCATTAACCAATGCATTTATAGAAATAACATTTCGGGGAACAGTTAATTAGATACCACCGCTATACTTTTTCTACGATAATTCCGCTTCGAATCATGCCTTGGGGCAAAACCTCATGCCAGTATTCATTAAATGCTCGAACGAGTCATGGAAAATTGCACTGACTCGGCCAACATTTGAAAGACATAATCTTAAAAATATAAATGCCAAAGTGTTTTCATTTAAAAAAGTAAAGCAACTAGAAATGGATCACCCTTTAGAACACCTTCCTTATTTTTTTCAGCGATCTACTTTTTCAGCTAAAAGCGACAGAGTGAAAGAATTAAAATAGTGCGTATCAATCGCAGTTGAAATTGACTGCTTATTACCTTTTTAACCATTTTTATAGAAGCACTAGAATAATATTTTCTTATAACATGGCTACGTGCCGACTTATATGGCATATAAACCCAGCATTATGCTGTATTCGCATTAGATAAGTATCTGAATTTGAATACGAAGCACGCTCTTCCATGAAGGTTTTAAAATAAAATATTAAACTTCATCACCAGCATCACATATCAAGCATATTTTTGGTCCAATTACTGTACCATGGTTGTCAATAGTTCTACAAAGCACGCGTGTTTGGTGCTTGGAGGCTTATAAATAAACCTCACTTTAGTGTCCTCTTCTTCCTGTTCAACGCGTTAATGACCATAACTACTTAGATAAGCGAATGCTTTTATGCAAGGCTTTCGCGCTTTTATCACGAATAAGCTTTAGCAACAGGTGACAACAACAGCAACAATAGAAGCGAACTATTTCGAGTCCTATGCGCGCGCTTGTTTGTCATAAGTCGCGAGCGGTAAGAACAACCAAAGCCCGCCAGTTGATGAGCAGCTTTACGACATCACGCGATAGTAAAACATAACAGTATTATTGCAGTAGCCATTGCGACTGCCACTGCGAGCATTGAATATACGATGTGCTTGAGCTGCTTATGAAAATGCTTGTCGCAGCTGCTGCCGCCACCTTTACCATTATCCGTGCACTCGTATTCTGTTTATTAGCGCGCTAACAACACCGTTACTTGCATTTTTCAAACTTTCCATGTGTGTGAGTATGTTTATTGCTCGTGAGTAGTTGAAATGCACTTTTGCCAACTCGTAAACTTTCATCGAGTTCGCTGCCGAGAGTTGCGGTTGGGGCATAATGAGCAGTTGGGTCAAATTATTCGCTGGCAGAACGGATGCAAGGCGATTTAAGGCGTTGGTGCACACATTTACAGTTGCAGATGAATACACACATGGCTGTGCATGTGATGCTCTCTTCATAAGCAGACAAATGGCACACTTCGCAGGCGTCACACCCGCCTCTCTTTAAAGCGCTCATTTTTACGGTTGGCGCTAAGCTAAAAGATACACCTTTGGAGCCATAATTTGGCATGCAATAAAATTTTAAAATAATAAAAAATTTACGAAACCATAATTTGCTTCGTTTAAGAACTGCAACACAACACTAACAAGTGTAGATAGACTGTTAGGAGCTTTTATATTAGAATCCGTACAGTATTTGGTTTATGACGCCAAGGTGGTCTGGCCTGATCTAAATTTGCTGTTAGACACCCCGCTCTACTTGCGGATAGCAGAGTAAAATGAGGCTACGACAATACCTAGTATTCCTAGCAAAACCTTCATTTGCGTGTGTGGGCGTGTGGGTTTTCAGCTGCTTGATGGGCCGTTTATGCACATTTCATGCCGCCGACCAACTACAGTGGCTATGTGTTTGCTTTTGTTTTAGTAGCTCTTTGTTTGCAAAGTTGTTCCAAGATACGAGCGCTTTTTAGGACAAGTTTTCCCTCTAATTTACCAACCTCCGCTGCGGCATTATTGCCTATTTATTAGTGGCACAATTTGGCCATGTGGCGGCATTAGTCATAAACTGATTTTATTGTCATGCTGAGCACAAGCACGACAAGAGCAATTTTAGCGAGTTGGGGAGTTTTTTTCTACGAACTCGCTTACCTAGTCCAAATTTCAAGCAGCCTGGGAGGCAGTGTGTGTATGTGTGAGTGACATAGACGCATGTGAAGATTATCCAGAAGACTGAACTGAAAAACGGTCTCAAAAAAGAAGAATGCATCTAAATGCAAAAGTATTTCACTGTAATTTGACAATAAAAAGCTGTAATGCCGACATTTGTCATGAATATGTTTTAACTTTGATAGTAAAATTCTGGCAATTTGATGGCAAATTGTTGAACGATGTGTTAATCACTTTGATTGTGGAAATTTTATGTTTATAGTCAGTGAAATACATAGTCGTAAAGATTGCAGATTGAAGCTAAATAAAAAATAAATTTAATTGATATTTTGTAGGAGAAAACACACGTGTAAGTGAAAAATGTGATTTAAAGCTTAAATTGCAGTAAAAGTATTTATAATTGAGTATATCGTCACCTCAGATGGAAAAAAGTTTACAGGCGAAGGAAAAACTACATTATAGAAACCACTAAATTGAAACCAAATTTCATTTTTGGTTATAAAATTGTTATATATTGGATATTGTATCTGATAACAAAGTTGTACGTTGTTTTGCATTTCATGTGACGATATATTACATGTTTAAGAAAGTGACGTATACGTACTGTCTATCCAGTAATTGAGATCTAAACACCAGCATATTCCAGTAATTTTATAGCGATAAAACATGCTTAAAAGCAGTTATATCTTAAACATAGTATGCAATTTTGAAAGGATTACATTTCATTGTGGAGAATTCAGTCGATTGTAGTCACCTCGCCTTCATTCACCCTTTCCTCAGGAGACCATTTCTTACACATTTCAGGCAATACAGCCACTTGGCATATAGTAGGTCATATAATTTTATAATTATTGGGTAAATGCATAGCAGTCCTCCTACAGTTTAGTGAATGTCGCTCCTTTCGGAAGCTGGTCAAAGTCGCAAAGAGTGGTTGAAAAAGAGACTTCAAGCAAAGTTTTGTTTGCATTTACGTATACATACAGGGTTTGTTCGGAAATCAAATGGGACTAAGTCGATAAAAAAAAATGTATTCAAGCAATCGTTACAATTCTTTAAAAACTTTGCAAATAAGCTCCTTCTGCGCCCAT